CCCCCGCCACCCCCGGGCCAGCAGCCCCCCCATCCGCCCCCAGGCCAGCAGCCACCCCCGCCGCAGCCAGCCAAGCCTCAGCAAGTCATCCAGCATCACCCGTCACCCCGGCACCACAAGTCAGACCCCTACTCAACCGGTAAGTCCTCACCCCCGCTGGGCTCTGGGGCACCTGGTGCTGGGTCCAGAGTTTTGTCCTCAAGCAGCCAGACGGGTCAGCATGTGCTTCAGGCTGAGATGGCTCAGAACCGAGCGTCAAAGGCTGTGGTTTGGTTGGAGAGAGGTGGCTGAAAGGGGATGTTGGTGCTTCGTGCAGTGTCTCTATCAGGTGTCTGTCTTGCTTGCAAGCTGAGATGACCGAGAAGGCGGCCCCTGCCAGCCCTTCTCTTGGAACTCACAGTCGAGAGCGTTACAATGCATCACGATCCCTGCTAGGTGGGGAAGCCAGGACCCCAGGGGAGGCACCCAGTCTGCCTCTGGGAGTCCACGCAGGCTTCCTGGAGGAGCAGACCAGAGGATGAGCCGGAACTAGTTTAACAAACAGTAGTGAGATCCAGGCCGAGCCAGGGGCAGGGCTGGGCAGTGGGGGGCTGTTTTGGGAACCTGCAGGAACAGGTGCTCTGCTTTTGGTGTCGTGAGACCCACCTGGTGGAGCCAGGACCTTGTCGGGGAGATTTGGGCTGAAGCTGAAAGGTACTTTGGGGCCGGTCCTGGAACGGTTGCCTGTCTCCAACCTGACCCAGACTACGCTTTTTCCTTTGACAGCATTGGTCACGCCGTGCCCTCTTGCCTTTCCTGGGGATTTGTTTCCTGAGTGTCTGTGACCAGGAAGTCCTGATTGGCCCTGGTGGGGGAATGTTTTAGTTGATGCCTCGTGGTGTAGTGATGCGCGAAGGTCAGGGTTGAGGTTCCTGGACTTGGCAGTGTAGACTATGCAGCCTGGCTTGGGGGTGCAGTGGGTGCTGCCTGCAAACTGAACAACAAGGCCATTGACTTTAGGCCCTGACTGCTCCTCAACCCAGCAAAAGCTACGAGGGGCAAAGAGGATTGCTGCACGCCCTGAGTGAGAACAGCTGGCTGTCATCCCTGGGTAAGACTGGTGCTGATCTCGGCAGCCAGCAGCTGTGCCTGTTCCCATCCCTGAGCAAGACCAGGCTTTCCTATGGGGGGCAGTGATGGGCAGACGCCTTTAGAAGAGCCGGCACTCAGGATCAGCCAGGTCCCCTCTGGCCACCTGTGCTGGAAGTCGCCCAGCCCACCTCCCCCTGAGCTCCTGCGGCCTGGTATGGGTCACAGGGAGTGATGTGGTTGGAGTCCAGCTGGGGGCTTTGGGCCAAAGGCCAAGTTGTCTGAGTCCCAAGGAAGCTCAGCAGGCATCCCTGGGCACCCGGCCAGCTTGTAGGCACAACCCCTGAGCTTGGGTCTCCCCTGCAGGTGCTGGTGGATGAAGCCACCAGCAGGCAGGTGATTCTTACAGTTCATAGGCCTGAGAGCCCTGCCATTGCCCAGGTCAGCCCCAAGGGAGCCACCCAGACTGTCGCAGTCCTGTGCCTGAAAATCGCTGGCAGGTCTGGACTCATGCTGCCCAGCACCAAGGCCACAAAACCAGCCACATAGCGCTGGGGGCCAAGGCTCAGCGACAGGCTGGTCCTCACCGCCATGTCATCTCCAATCAGCTATTTTGCCTTTTAGGGTTGGGAGTGAGTTCTGGCCCTAGACAAGGGAACAGGGGGTCCACCACACCTGAAGCATTGTGGTTTACTCCTGGCCCATGAAAATGGGCACCTCTGGCCATGGGGCCCACGGAGGGCCCAAGGGTGTCTGTGCTGTTAGACAGTGGCTGGAAGCAGGCCTGGAGGTTGATGCAAGGGCTGGCACGCAGAGCCCAGGTTAGGTTGTTCAGCGTGAGGTATGAGGCAGGACCAGGAGCAGAGGTGCTGCAGAGATGGGGCTTTCTCTTGTGGACAAGTGTGGCTTGTCCCATGCTAAGCCGGTCAAGATGTCGCAGAAATGCAGGCGGGAGGGCAGGAGGGTGCCCCATGCTGCTGTGGGTGGCAGAGTGGAGGGCAAGAATTGGTGGTTGCTCCAGCTGCCTGGTCCTGAGGTGCCAGCCCACTGTGACCTAGGGCTGTTTCCTCACCCGTGAGGCTGTGGTGTTAGGCGTAAGTGCTTTGACAGGCCTTTCCCAGGGGCCAGTAGTGGGGCTTTCTGGGCTCTTGCCCTGCGCTGAGTGCTTGGTCCCTGTGGCTGCCTGGGTCCCCCCAGGCTTTGGTTGGATGAAAGTGAGTGGGCTGGCCCACTTGCTGCAAGAGCCAGGAGCTCAGGACCTGTTCTACCAGTTCTGCTGTGGTGCAGGCTAGTTCCAGGCTTCCCCCTTGTGTGGGCTCATTGGCTGAGTTGTGTGCGGAGGGTCCTGGGTTCCAGGTAGGCAGGCCAAGCCACCCAGGGACAACTGGGAGCTGAGGTTTCCTTTGCCCTATGAAGTATTTAACGAGGCCCTTGTATTTAACAAGGCCGCGCTGTAGAACTATCTGGAGAGCTTTTAAAAAGTATTGAGGCCCAGACCCCACCCAGGACCAAATGTATCAGGACCTGCACCTCAGAAAGCTTCCTGAGGGTCCTGACCCACAGGGGCATCACACACCAGGACTGAGGCCACGGCTCCCCAAAGCCCTGCTGCACCCTGAGCTCGGGGCCTGATTGAGCAGGCCTTCGGGGCCCTGGCCAGGCCCAGGGCCAGCACCTCCACACCAGTCCCACTGACAGGCTCCTTGTCCCCTCTCCTAGGTCACCTCCGCGAAGCCCCCTCCCCGCTTATGATACATTCCCCCCAGATGCCTCAGTTCCAGAGCCTGACACACCAGTCGCCACCCCAGCAAAACGTCCAGCCGAAGAAGCAGGTAAAGGGCAGGGCTGGGCCACGGCCCCCAGGGCCAGGCGCGTGCCGGGGCCAGGGCCGCCCACCTGCCTCACCGGCTGCCGTGCCTGTGCCATCCCAGGAGCTGCGCACGTCCTCTGTGGTCCAGCCCCAGCCCCTGGTGGTGGTGAAGGAGGAGAAGATGCACTCACCCATTATCCGCAGTGAGCCCTTCAGCCCCTCGCTGCGGCCGGAGCCCCCCAAGCATCCAGAGAACATCAAGGCCCCAGTCCACCTGCCCCAGCGTGAGTGCCCTCTCCGCCCCCAGCTGGGGCTGAGGCCCCCAGGCCTGCGTTGGACATGAGCTTTCTCTGGGCCAGTTGACCGTGCCCCACTGAGGTGGGGTGGGCCCAGGCCCACGAGCTGTTTCTGTTCCAGGGCCTGAGATGAAGCCTGTGGACGTTGGGAGGCCAGTGATCCGGCCCCCTGAGCAGAATGCACCCCCACCAGGGGCCCCTGACAAGGACAAACAGAAACAGGAGCCGAAGACACCAGTTGCACCCAAAAAGGTAGAGACAGTGGGTCCATGAGTGCTCCTCACCCCCACCCCAGGGAGGTGCCTGAGCCAGGTCTTCTTCCCTGCCATGCCCTCAGGCTTTAGGACTTGCAGGGGGGAGTCCAGACAGAGCAGGGCCCCTCACCCACCACGTGGTGTCTCTGCTCCACAGGACCTAAAAATCAAGAACATGGGTTCCTGGGCTAGCCTGGTGCAGAAGCATCCCACCACCCCGTCGTCCACAGCCAAATCCTCGAGTGACAGCTTTGAGCAGTTCCGCCGTGCTGCTCGAGAGAAGGAGGAGCGCGAGAAGGCCCTGAAGGCGCAGGCCGAGCACGCAGAGAAGGAGAAGGAGCGGCTGCGGCAGGAGCGCATGAGGTGGGCGTGGGCTCCGGGCAGGGGCACGGTGGCTCCCGGGGACTGCACCGGCCGCCAGGCTGACCAGGAGCCCTGCTCTGCTCAGGAGCCGAGAGGATGAGGACGCGCTAGAGCAGGCGCGGCGAGCCCATGAAGAGGTACGCCGGCGCCAGGAGCAGCAGCAGCAGCAGCGGCAGGAGCAGCAGCAGCAGCAGCAGCAACAGGCAGCTGCCGTGGCCGCCGCCGCCGCCGCCCCCCAGCCCCAGAGCTCCCAGCCCCAGTCCATGCTGGACCAGCAGAGGGAGTTGGCCCGAAAGCGGGAGCAGGAGCGAAGACGCCGGGAAGCAGTGAGTGGGGGGACTCTGGTGGGGACCACTGGGCAGGGGTCCACTTCTGGAGGAGCTGGGAATGGGGACCTTGAACCCAGAGAGGGGTAGAGGGGTGGTCACTTTGTGAGAGGTGGGTGCTCAGGGCAGGGCTTCTGCTTGTCTGCACAGTGCTGGCCTCTGGGCCTCGGAGGTGGCTCAGGCCCAGTGGTGGGAGGTTTCAGGGTGTGGGCCCTGAGGGAAGGGCCGATGCTGGAGGTGAGGGGCAGTGGGGAGATATGGGAGCCAGAGCAAGGGCAGGACACCGGGTCTCACTCCTTCCCACTCTCCTCTCCCCTCCAGATGGCAGCTACCATTGACATGAATTTCCAGAGTGACCTATTGTCAATATTTGAAGAAAATCTTTTCTGAGAGCGCCTCGGTGACTTCTGACTTTGATTTTCTGGCAAAACGTTGACTCTCCATAGTGTTAGGGGCGGCAGTGGAAGCGGTAGCAGTGGCAAGGGGGTGTCTCCGGGCCTGGCCCTCCTGCATGCTACGCCCGGGGCAGGCCTGATGGGCAGCTGAGGATTGCAGAGCCTGTCTGCCTTACAGCCAGCCGGACATCCCGCCACCCCTCAGGACGTCAGCCCAGAGCACGCCTCACCACGAGCAAGTGCCGGCCAGACCCAAGTCCGCGTCCCTGCGTGCAGGGCAGAGGCCCTTCTCTCCGCCAAATGTCTACACAGTATACACAGGACATTGTTGCTGCCGCCACCGTGACTGGTTTTCTGTCCCCAAGAACATGGCGATTGTGACATTCTGCCCGCCGGGAGTCCTTCCCTACACCCCAGCCACCACCACCCGCTCCCAGGAGACCAGGGCAGGCCCACGTGAGCTGGAGGCAGGCCAAGGCACCGGCTCACCCCCTTGCTGGCACTGACTTTGCCTTGAACAGACCCCACCCCTCCCCTCCCCCCACAAGCCTTTAATTGAGAGCCGCTCTCTGTAAGTGTTCGCTTGTGCAAAAGGGAATAGTGCCGTGGAGGTGTGTGTGTGTCCATGGCAATCCGGAGTGAGGTGACTATCACACACGTGTGTGGGCCAGCCTCACCCGGCGAGTGAGGCCACCAACCAAAGTCAGTTCCTTCCCGAACCTGTGTTTCTGGGTTTTTTTTCTATATATATATTTTTTGTTGGATTCTATTTTATTTTTAATTCTCTCTTCTCCTCCAGACACAATGGCACTGCTTATCTCCAAAATGGTGTGATCGTCTCCTCGTTGAGCGGCGGCTGTCACCGCGCCGTGGGTAGTGTGTGACCGTGGCTGTACTGTGTAGTGAAACATAGTTGGCATATCTTTATTTGAAGTTTGTTGGTGACTCCACCGAACTGGTGTAAAAAAATCAGAAAAAAAAAAACCCAGAAAAAAACAATACAAAACACACAAAACACACAAAAAACTGCCTATATTTTACTTATTTTCAAACTTTATTAGTCTATTTTTAATTATAAAACCAGAAAACTGCGTTTTCTTTTTCCTTTTTCCCCCTTATTTGTTGGCTGCTTGTTTGTTTTTTAACGTCACATCTGTTTGAGTTGTTTTTACCAGGAAAGGAAGGGCCAGGGCCCAAGGTGGGTGCCAGGGGATGGGGCCACAGGCCGAGGCAGAAGCTCCCCGCCCGGCACCCAGCCCGACCAGCCAGCTGCCCTTTCCCCCACTGTTTTGTTAATTTTATAATTGGAGCCCTTGGTGAGGTTACACGTGCCATGAGAACCCACTCTACACCACGATGCTGGTGCCTCGGTGTCGGCCAAACTTGGGAGTCACTGACTGGTTTGACTTTCCTACGGTGAATATGCATTTGGTCTGTACTGATCATGGAATAAACACATCTCTCTTTTTTAATGCTGGCGTCTCCCTGACATTTCTTTGTGAACCACCCGTTGCCTAGGCTAGGCCCAGGGGCCCCCTGGACCCCAGACCACCTCTATACAAGAACTACCACCAGGGGCCACCTAGCCCTTTCCTGTGGCCTGTCCCTGCCGTCCCTGGGCAGGAGCTGCCACCCCGAGCTGAGCTGTGATAGGGAGCCCAGGTACCCGTTCTTCCTGTGGACCCTGGCGTCCTAGGTGGGTAGCTCTAGCAGAACTTGGCCAACTCCAGGCAGTGTTCTTCCCCTTTGCCCCCTCTGTCCTGGTTCCCACTCACCAGAGGACTCGGGCCACTCTTCCCGCCTTGCCTGCCTCTCCCTGACTCCTTTCATTTAAGCTCAGGGTTAACCAGATATTCTTAAATAAGCGTACATCCTTCAAAATAGGATCCACACCCCCTTCACACGCAGACGCGCACACACACATTCCTGCCCAAGAGAGCCCACCAGGTGGCTGCCGTGTGCCTGTGTTGTGTGCCCACTAGTATGCCACAGGCAGGGGCAGTACCCAAGAGCGGCCCTAGGGTGGAAGATGGAAGATTATCATGTGTATGTATGCAGAGACACAAACAGACGGAAACGTTTCTAGCACTGTTATTAACCCACGTCCTCCTTTTTCAACCAGAAAGGTCCTGTATTGTCTTGTGTTTGGGATCTGCCAAACCTCCCAGCGAGGATATAGTTCAGGCATCCAGCCAGAGGTCCCCCGCTGCCCCTTGCCCTCCACAGGCACTTTCTCATATACCACTGTGCTGGTTCAAGTGTGACTTACGTTATTTTGATTCTTTGAGGTTTCTTCCATCTCATCCCATCCCCTCATTTTTGTTCTGTGTTTTGTTCAGAAACTTCCCCAGGCCAGGTCTGAGTGTTTTGCTGGAGAAATGGTTTTATCTGCACCTTCCTTCTAAAGATTTCTCTGCCATGGCCCTCTTCACACCTCCCTGATGGGTCTTTCTCTAACTGGGTTGTACTTAGAACTTGGATCTACTATTTACCTTCTCTGGCCATTTCCCAATTCCTCACACAGTACTAGAAATCTTAGTCCTATACAAGAGTAAGAGGTGTGTACAAGCCCCCACTGTACTGTATGCACGGATCGCTTGGCCAATAATTGTCAGTGAATCTGAGACTTGTATTAAACACTTTAGACATTTGTAGAAGGGAATTCGTAGACTTTTCACTTATACTAAAGGTTTTTTTTTTTTTTTTTGTGCAGTTCTCATTGCAAAAATAAACATTTGTACTGAATATAAAATTACCATCCTGTGACTACTGCTGTCTTTTTGTTTGAGGGTAGAGCTGGGTTGGGGGTTGGGGGGATGTGGGAGTCAGTGTTGTGTAGCAGAGGAAGAAGGGAGGGCTGCAGACACCCACCAGCCATGCAGATTAGAGGGTTCAGGAGGGATGCCAGGATCATCAAGTGGTCAGAGAACTGATTTGATGGAAAGTGTAGAAGAAACCAAAGCTATGACACAGGCTAATCATGCAAGACAAGAAAGCTAGGTAATCAGTGCAGAGAGAACAAGTGTTTGTACACTATAGGCAGTGTAATCATAGACATCTTCTCGACTGAGATGCATGTTAACTGAGGCAGAACCACATAAACCACTATTCCCCTTGAAGCAGCAATCCACAGACATGATTATGGTCCCAGGATAGTATAATATTTAGCAGCCTTGGCAATACAAAGGTAAGGTTAACAGTGGCAGGTGGAATAGAGGGTGAGAGGTGACAAAAATGAAGGGATGAGTGGAGTGTTTAAAGTTAGAGGAACCAATAGAAAAACTAATCATGGAAACAGCACAGCCAGTGGTGGTGACATGAGTGAGTCAATGGATAACACCCCAAATAGGTACCCAGGAAATAGCCACATAAGCACATCTAGAGAGATTGAGGTAACCACCAGAAGAAAGTAAAAGGGTTCCAATGGCTATCTCCAGGTGGAAGGAGAGGTGGAATCCAAATTGTTGCTTTTCTCCCTGAATCCTGGAGTGCTGTTTAGTTAGCTATGTGGCCTTAGACAAATGACTTAATCTTCGAATTTCAGCTCCCTGTTCTGTAACAGGGATGATAATAGTACTTACGCTTCAGGTGGTTGTAAGGGTTAAATGATGAGTGATCCTGAAATGAGGATTTTGCAGGGGCCAGCCTGGTGGCGTAGCAGTTAAGTTCGTGAGACCTGCTTTGGTGGCCCAGGGTTTGCAGGTTCAGATCCCTGGCGTGGACCTACACACCGCTTATCAAGCCATGCTGTGGCAGCATCCCACATATAAAGTAGAGGATGATGGGCACGGATATTAGCCCCCGGGGCCAATCTTCCTCAGCAAAAAGAGGAGGATTGGCAACAAATGTTAGCTCAAGGCTCATCTTCCTTACCAAAAAAAAAAAGGTTCTTGGGGCAATGTTGCAAAACAGGAGGAGGAAGACGCTACCCCGCCGGCCCTCTTGCCCTGCCCTGCCCCGCTTCCTCTTTCGGCCAGAGCCCCAGTGACCCAACCGGCCTGGCCCTGCTCCTGCTCCCGGCCGAGCCTGCCCTCTAGGAGTCAGAGGCTGCCCCCGGCGGAGCTCGGCCTCAGAACATGCCGATTGGTTCCAGGCGGGACCCGTCGCCTGCATGTCAATGACAGCCACCGTCCAATCACAGCCGTGCATGGGCGGGCCAGTGGGCCCCCTGGGCCAACCGGAGGCCGGCGCGGGGTCGTGGCCGCTGGACTCGCCATTGGAACCCGCGCCGGGGTGAAGGTGCCGCCAGCTCTTTCCCAGCCAGTCCGGGGGGAGGGTTCCGCGCTCCAGGGCAGGGAGCTCCCAGGGGGCGGCGGCAGAGGCTCCGAGGCCTCCTGGGGACGCGACGACCGTCCGAGCCTCCCGCCTGATTCCCAGCCAGGGCACTACCTGTCTGCCTCCTTCCGCCTCCGGGCCCGCCCGCCCCGCCATACTAGGTTCCGGCCCAGCCCCCGTCTCATTGGCCTGGATCCAGGCCAACACCCCGCTCATTGGCCCAGCCCCGGGCCTGCTCCGCCCAGCGCTAGGCCCCGCCTTCTCTAGGCTGCGCCCCGCCCTCTCCTAAGCCACGCCCCCAGCCCTCAACACGCTCCTAGGCCAAGTCAGGTCCATCTTTCCGGCTCCTGGGCCGCACCTACTCTGCATGGCCCCGCCCCTCGCCCCAGACCCCGCCCGTTTCTCACAGGGCGCCTCCTCTCTCCTGTATAAGCAGGACCGGTTCTCCCTCTAGACCTTAGACCCCACCACCTGCTGTAGGGGTCCTCCTAGACCCTGCCCCTTCTTAAGCCCCGCCCGAGCCCTCCTAGGCCCCGCCCACAGCTTCTACCCCTCGCACCTCTTCTCCCCAAGGCCCCCTTCCAGCCACCGAAGCCTGGTCCTCGCAGGCTCCACCTCGGCACCCGGGCCTAGCTCCCTATTCGCCGTCGCGCCCGAGTTTCACCTGGCACTTAGGTGAGTCGTGCGCGGTGGCGGTGTCGGTCTGATTCGCCCGCCTCTTCTCTCGGCGCTTTCCGCAGGCCCGGCGGCACGGAGGGGCCCCAGACCAAAGGCGGTGGGCTCCCTAGCCCGGATCCCGCCTCGCCACCGCAGCCTGCGTCCCCCGCCCAAGCCCGTGACGACAGCTCCGAGATCGGCCCGGGTCGCGGCGACATGCCGGAGCTGGTGGTGACGGCGCTGCTGGCGCCGTCGCGCCTCACTCTGAAGCTACTACGCGCCTTCATGTGGAGCCTCGTGTTCTCGGCGGCGCTGGTGGCCGCCGCCGTCTATGGCTGCATAGCGCTCACGCACGTGCTGTGCCGGCCCCGGCGTGGCTGCTGCGGCCGCCCCCGGCGCACCCCACCCGCCTGCTTGAGCGACCCCACGCTGGGCGAGCATTGCTTCCTGACCCTCAGGGTGAGAGCGCAAGGGCGCCCTCTGGGCCTCGGGGGTCTAGGAGCCTGGGAGGCGGGGCCGTGTGGGGCCGGGGTCTGGGCCTCGGGGGTCTAGGAGCCTGGGAGGCGGGGCCGTGTGGGGCCGGGCGAGGTGAGCAGAGAGCAAATGATTGAATCCAAATCTGGGTCGGCACATGGCCAGGGGCTTCAAGCCTACCGAAGAGGGGGTTCCCCGGGTCTCAGACTGTGACCTCTCCCAGAGCTCGGGCCTGCGCCTGCACTTCGTCTCCGCTGGACGCGGCAACGGGCCCCTCATGCTGTTTCTGCACGGTTTCCCTGAGAACTGGTATGTCTGAGGCCCAGGGGCCTGGGGCACACGAGGCTGGAGGGTGGTGGAGTTCAGACCGCCAGGGCACCCAGGAGGCCAGGGAGCGGGCTGAGTAGACTGGGGGTACAAAGCAGATAGAGCCCAGATGGGGTGTTCAGGGACAGGGGTCACGAGAACGCACGGGAACTGGAGGCCGGAAGGGATGGAACCAAGAGGTGTCCATGTGGAGACTGCACTGGATCCAAGGTGCAGCTGAGCTCACCCTCCGCCTGGAATTCCCCATCCTCCCTTCTGGGAAGTCCAGGGCAGGGAGGTGGAGTTGAAAAAGGCCCCTGCTGGGGTGGAGGTACAGCCTGGGGACCTTGACTCAACTTCCCTCCCCTGCCCACCCAACAGGTTCTCCTGGCGTTACCAGCTCCAGGAGTTCCAGAGCCGCTGCCATGTGGTGGCTGTGGATCTGCGGGGATACGGCTCTTCGGATGCACCGAGGGATGTGGACTGTTACACCATCGACCTGCTGATGGCAGACGTCCAAGATGTCATTCTGGGCCTGGGTGGGGATGCACCCCCATCCAGCCCTGGCCCCCCACCCCTGCCTCACTTCTACCTGGCATCTCCCTTATGCCAGTTCCTCTGACCACCCATAGGTTACTCCAAGTGCGTCCTCGTGGCCCATGACTGGGGTGCGCTCCTAGCCTGGAATTTCTCCATCTACTACCCATCCTTGGTCGAGCGGATGGTAGTGGTCAGTGCTGCCCCCATGTCGGTGTACCAAGGTGTGTTGGGGATTCTGGGACACTGGGATGTGCCTGTGAGAAGGGGTGTGTGTAAGTGCCTGCACTTCTCCATATACCAGTCAACACTCCAGGGGCTGGGGGTGCAGCAGTGAACCTGGGTCCCTTCCCCTGTGGCATTCCCAATCTATAATCAATGACAGTATGCTTAGGAGTAACCCACATTTTTTTGAACACTTACAGGTAACAATTGCTGTGACAAGGAGCCTGCACACAGTAACCTACACAAGCCTCCTGGGCTTTCAAAAGTGTTATCATCCCCATGCTCCTGTTAGGGAAACTGAGGAGAGAGAGACTTTCTTCTGGCAGGGAAGACATAGATAACTAAGCAACCACAATAGCATGAGATGCCGTCTCCAGCTACCCAGTGTCAGTCACGTCACCTGGTTTTCATTCCCAGCCTGTAGTCATGGCTCTATGCTCACAGCTCTATGCTCGCTCGCTCTCTTTTTGCTGTTGTTTCTTGTCTGTCCTCATCTCTAGACTATCAGCTCCTGTTTCTTTTTTTGTGTTTTTTTTTTAATTTTATTTATTTATTTATTTTTCCCCAAAGCCCCTGTAGATAGCTGTATGTCATAGCTACACATCCTTCTAGCCGCTGCATGCGGGACGCGGCCTCAGCATGGCTGGAGAAGCGGTGTGTCAGTGTGCGCCTGGGATCCAAACCCGGGCCACCAGTAGCGGAGTGCACGCACCCAACCGCTAAGCCATGGAGCCAGCCCTCAGCTCCTGTTTCATGTCTGTCTCATTCACTACTGTCTCCAGGGTATAGAACAGGGCCTGGCATACAGTAGGTGCTCAATAAATGTTTTTTGACTGAAGCAGGGGAAATGCATCCAGGCCTGAACAGGGAAAGCACACCAGTGGTTGTGGGTGTTCCTGGGAGCTATAGGGGGAGACCCCCGTTCTGTAGGTACAGTGACCACTCAGCAGAGAAGGAAACTGGTGCCTGGGGCTGGGGAGTGGTGTCAAGTGTCCTCACAGGCTCAGACAGGCAGGGGTGACATTCCTAAGTGTTGGCACACCTGTGTGCCCGACCTGGATGTGTGTAGGGGTGCAGGGGTCTGCGGCCGCCCCAGGCCCAGGCCTCACATTTGCCTTCCCCTCCCCCCAGACTACTCTATGCACCACATCGGCCAATTCTTCCGTTCCAACTACATGTTCCTGTTCCAGCTTCCCTGGCTGCCCGAGAAGTTGCTGTCCATGTCTGACTTCCAGGTGCAGTGGGGTGAAGGCCCCAGGGGTGGGTGGAGGGTAGTGGGCTGGGAGTGGGTTGGGACTGAAGCCAGAGTCCTGTTGTGTACCCAGATCCTGAAGACCACCCTCACCCACCACAAGAGGGGCATCCCACACTTGACCCCCAATGAGCTTGAGGCCTTCCTTTATGACTTCTCACAGCCCGGTGGTCTCACTGGGCCCCTCAACTACTACCGAAACCTCTTCAGGTGAGACCAGACCCAGGGCAGAAGCTCAGGAGAGTTGTGGGGGCAGGGGCCGGGGGCAGCCATCTTTCTGCCTGTCTGTCTTGACCACAGGAACTTCCCCCTGGAGCCCCAGGAGCTGGCCACACCCACACTGCTGCTGTGGGGGGAGAAGGACCCCTACTTTGAGCAGGGGCTGGTGGGGGCCATCAGCAGCCACTTTGTGCCAGGCCGGCTGGAGGCCCACATCTTTCCAGGCGCAGGGCACTGGATCCCACAGAGCCACCCCAAGGAAATGCACCAGTGCATGTGGGCCTTCTTGCAAGACCTGCTGGACTAGTGGCCCTCGCTCACTGGCCTGCATGCACCTGGGAGTCCGTATGACATACATACACAGGTGGACTCCCGGACTGCACACAGTGCATCTGTGGGTGCCCTCAGGCACACCAACCCATATGCTCACACACAGGCGTGAGTGTGTGCACGTGTGAGCAAGCACTTTGAGCCCAGGCAACCAGGTACGCATCTCCTCTGTGGAGCCAGGTGCTCAGTATCCAACCTCTCCCTCCCTGGGGCACCACTCTTCTGGTCAAAGTCGGCCACCAGAGCTGCATAAACCATAAACTTTGACCTTCCTGTCCCTGGCTTCCACCTCCAGCCTGGGTCTTCAGCTAAATGCTGCTCTGTCCAATATGGTACTGGTAGCTCCATCTGGCTACTTCAATTTAAATGCACATTAATTAAAATTAAATACAATTAAAAATGCAGTTCCTCAGTCACACTAGCCATATTTCAAGGGCTCAATTGCCACATGAACATAAAAAGTTCTATTGGACAGTGCTGATGAGAGTATTCCTAGAGTAGAGGGCCCCCCTGCCTGGCCCCTGACCACCTTGTCAAGGGAAGACCCTCATGGGCAGTCAGGTGGGTGTCCAAACTCCTCTCCAGCCAGGCTCTGGGTAGCCCCCACGATCTCCCTCCCGGTCGTGACTCCAGGCCTTGTAAGGTCAAGTTCTCCGATCACAGCCTGGAAAAGATCCCTGGGATCCCTGACTCAGAGCCACGGGCAAACAGCCCCCTGCTGCTAGGAGACGTGAGACTCTGGACTCGGCACAAAAAGAGACCAGCTCCCTGAATGGCCATCTTGGGTCTGAGGCCTGCCTCTCCAGCCCCTGGAATCTTCTGCTCCAAATTCTGCTGATTCTTGCTGGGGGTCCCGGGCTCCAGGCTCCAAACGAAGGCAGTGCAAGTCGAGGGTGGGCCACCCAGCCCCAGGCTGGTCACAGCATCAACTTCTATCACCCTGGCCATTGTCTGGCCTTTGGGGACAGTGTCATGACCTGCAGCATGATGCATCTCTCTGGGGACCCAGCAGACCTCAGAAATACATCCTCTTATCTCTGGGATGGGCCTGCCTGGCAGAAACCTTCCTGCTGGTCACCCTGCTCTGCCCTCCCTTGTCCGCAACATGACATCCTTCTGCTCATCAAATGTGTCAGGCACTGTTCTGGGCCCTGGAGATAGCCTGTGAGCAAGAACACAGCCCTGTTCTGGTGTGAACAGAGAAGAGGCATAGAGAGCTCTGTGTGTGACGGGGCTCAGGAAAGGCTTCCCTACCTGGGGCACACACTTCCGGGAGCAGAGAGCACTAAATAGGAGGGTGGGGGGCAGGAATAAGCTTAGGCGACTGGAGTAACAACGTGGAGATTAGTGGCTGCCAGGGCAGAGCGAGGGAGGAGGCACGCGGGAGAAGAGGCCACGCCAGACCGCCAGGGGCTGCGAGGAGGAGTTTGGATTCGATTCTCAAGTGGAGCCAGGGGAGGGTTTTCAGCAGGGGAGGGACAGGGTTTGCATTTCGAAAAGCTCCCTGTGGCGGCTAGACAGTCCCACGCAGGAGTGTGAGCGGGAAGACGGGCCGGGGGCTGTGGGCAGCCTCAGCACCGGGGGGGTGCGTTAGCCCGACCCGAGCCAGGATCCCCAGGGCTCGACTCATCATGGGAGGCTCCCTGTCAGGGCGGGAGCAGTGCCCCCTGGGGGCGGGGAGGTGGGCTGCAAGAGGAGGGGGACTCGGAGCCCAGGGAGGGTGGAGGTCGGGGGCTAGGAGGCCTGTGGGCAGGATGAGGATCGTGTGTCCAGAGGGCAGTGGGTCTTGCTACGGTTGCCAGGGTGACGGGGAAAATGGCTGATGGGTGACCGCAACGGGTAGTGGTTGTCTGGGCGACCAGAGGGGCCCAAGCGAAAGCTAACTGGAGGCCTCGGAGAGTTGCCAGGGCGACGGGGTCCGCTGACGGTTGCCAGGGTAACGAGAAGGCGCCGTCTTCCGCCTCCACGGCCGCGGGCTGGAGAAAGACAGCGTCTCGGGGCGGGGGAGGGAAGCGACCGTGTTGACTGGGCAGAGTCCTGGCCAGTGAGCCAATAGCGACTCGGGGTTCGCAGAAGCCCGCCTCTCCCAGCCTGAGCCAATCCGGGCGCGTCTTTCTTACGGCCAAGTGGCTGGGCGCGCTCAGGACTTCGGGCGGGAGCGGCGACCCAAGGGCTTGGAAGGGGGCTGCTGGGGCCGAGGCCCCTCCCAGGCTCGGCCTCTCCCTCTCTCTGCTCTGAGCGCCTGCCTCTAGACCACCTTCCATCGTTCACTCATTCATTCACTCATTCATCTGTCCCTGCCACCCGCTCTAAGCCGCTGGCCCCGCGCCAGAGGAGGGGTAGGGGAGCGGGAGCCGGGCACAGATACTCCCAGCTCTGTGTGGTCAGGCCAGAGTGGAATGAGGAACTGGTGAGGAGCACTTACGTGGGGGGAGGAAGGGAAGGCTGCCTGGAGGAGGCGGCCTTGGAGCTGAACCCCGCGAAGATGTGCTCCAATCCACAGAAGCCTCTCGTGCACGGGTGATTTAGCATTTCCATGAGACCGGGACGGTTTGGGACGGGAAGATGTGGGATCGGAAAGGGCTTCAAACACCAGGCCAGGAGCTCGATCCCCAGCTTGATGGGAGCCAGCAGGGGAGGGTCTCGCACAGATCTGTGTCTGGACTATTACTTGGGGGCTGCTGAGGGGCAGGACCAGAGAGGGAAGATTGACGGTGGGGAGGCCTGGAAGGAGGATGTGCGCAGTCCAGGCAATCCAGGATGAGGCCCAAGTTTAGGCACTGGGAGAGGAGCAGACATGCAGCGAAGGCCAGAAGCAAGTCTGGGGCGTGTTCAATCTGAGGAGGCTGGACCCCTGGGGCAGGAATCTAGAAGCATCTAATGAGTTAAAGACAAAGATGGCCCAGCGAGCATCCGTGTGTGGTGGGGCAGAAGGGCACTGAAGTTGGGAGAGAGGATGAAGTCTCCCCGGAACAGAGTGGAGAACAAGACTGGAGACTGAGCCTTGGGGACCCCCAACATCCAAGGGACAGGCAGAGGAGAGAGACCACAGAGGCAGGAAGGGAAGCAGGCAAGCATGGTGCCCCAGCAATGGGGTGGAGGGGTGTCAAGGAGGAGGAGCATAGACCATGGGGTCAAAAGCTGCTGAGAAATTGAGAAAATGGAGCCAGGCAGTTTGTGAGGGAGGACGCCCAGCTGTGGAGGCTGAGGACAGAGAGTTTGGACGCTCTGCGAGGGCTACGCAGGGATGGTGGGGAGAGTGGGGACCCCAGTCGGAGGCTAGAGGAAACAACTGGCACATTCAGATGGGGTAATTTAAGGCAGGTTTGCTACAGAGACCATATACAGAGGGCAGCATCCGTGGAGAGCCATTACCGTCTTTGGGTCCCCCTGACTGAGCAAGGGGAAGGAAGGATGTTAGCAGAGGCCAGAGAGATTTGTGTGGATAGAGCCTTTGGTAAAGGGACACAGTCAGCTGAGGAGGCCCTACAGGGAGGGAGGCAGGAGGATTAATATCCCGTTCTCTCCTCCCGCTTCATCTTCTGTCAGTGCCTTCTATTGGCCCAACTCACCTGGAAGCCAGAGCACAAGGGTGTCCATTGATAGAGCCTGAGGAGGTCAGCCTCTTGGGTACAGAGGGAGTGGAGAAGGGGAAGAACGGAGCCAGCGGTAAGGGGAGATCCAGGGGAGACAGACAGGAGCTGGGGGCTGGGGGGAACGTGAGATGAGCGTTCACTGTGGATTCCACCTTTCTGCAGAAGAGACCTCAACCTATGGCCAAGAGGGGAGGTAATGAAAAGCCCCGGGGAGGCACTCCCTTCTCTGAAGCAGGAGGAAAGGTAAGGAGGACAAGTTCACACCTTCAGGAAGGAAGGCAAGTTTCAGAAGCCAGGGAGGCAAGGACAGACAGTTAGGGGACATCAAAGCGTCATGGTTCAGAGGGAGAGATGGGGTCCTGTGAGGCCACGGGCATGGAAGGTTGGAGTGGCCTGACCCCAGGGCCTGTGAGGCCAAGGCACGCATTGGATGTCCCACCCAATGGACGGTCCTAAGGCAGAGAAACCACCGCCCCAGGAAGGGTAAGGAGTGGCCTCCCCTCTTTCCCTGCCTGGAGCTGCAGAGCCAGTACGTGCTCAATTGAAGTGAATTTTCTTCTCTCCACTCCCCTTTCTTCCACATTCAGCTCTCACACACACACCCTCCTCCGAGAAGCCCCACCAGCCCCTGTCCCTTCCTCTGACCTAGCCCTGATCCAGTGGGGGGGCGGATGTGTCTGTGCCCAGACAGGAACGTTCCAAGGGTTGGTGCTGGGTACATTCAGGTCCCAGCTCCCGGGTCCTGCTCTGCCCTGAGATGTGCTGGGCATATTCATTCATTTGCTTGACAGTTATCTCACCCACTGTGTGCTGCGCTCTATGCTAGACATTGGGGATTCAGCAGTGAGCAAGACAGGTACCCACAGAGCCCAGAACCTGATGGGAGAGCCAGGCAGGATCACATGGAGGGAAGAGGCCGTGGGAGCCAGAGGAGACCATGTGAAGCCCCAGGGGCAGCTCCCTGGGAGAAGAGCTGGCAGAGCTCCCAGTGATCGTTCACAACCTCCATCAGCTCAGCGTCCCCCCCCGAAAGCCCCCATTGGCATCCGCTGTGCTTGCGATAGAATTCCAGACCTTTTGGTCCTTTGGGATTTGGTCCCCATCAGCCTCCCTGACCTCCCACCCCTTGCTCACTCTGTACCCAGCACCCTGGCCTCCTCACTATTCCTCTCATCCACCCACTCCTTCCTCCTCTGGGCCTTTGCACTTGCTGTTTCCTCTGCCTGGAACACCCTTCCCCTGGCTCTTTGCAGTGCTGGCTCCTTCTCCTCCTTCAGGTCTCAGTTCTAATGTCCCCTTGTCAGCGAAGCCTGTCCTGACCCCCCACATTGAAATCTCTCCCTCTCTCATGTCACACTCGATGGTTCTTATTTGCTTTCTACTTTCTTGTCTGTCTCCCCTGTCGGGGCAGGAACTGGCTGTGTCTTGGTCCCTCTACCTGGGCCTGGCACCAAGTAGGTACTCATTAATGTTTGTTGAATGACTGAATGAAGGTGAGAAGGGCTGGAGGGTTAGAGTGAGCCACCAGGTGAAGGGAGCCTTCAGGGTATGAGAAGGATGCTCCTGGCAATGGGCACAGCCCGTGCAAAGACTGGGAAGGCTGGGAGACAGGGAAGGGAAGCTGGAGAGGTGAGGTGGGTGTCACTCTGGGCAGTGGGGAACCATGGAGGGTTTGAGCAGGAAGGACTCGAGGGAGGTAGTGGCCAGGAGACCTGGCTGGGTCTGCAGCCCACAGACCCTGGGGTCCAGCCTGCCCACTCTTGCCCAGGCCCCACACCTGGCAGCCCTCACCCC